CGCCTGCCACGAATCGAGGTTCACAAAGTACTACGCCTGCCACAAAATCTGCATTTCGAGGTTCACCAAGTGCTGTGCCTGCCACGAAATCTGCACTTCGAGGTTCACCAAGCGCTGTACCTGCCACGAAATCTGCACTTCATTGCACTTCGAGGTTCACAAGTCCAAAGTGCTGCACCTGCCACGAAAACTGCATTTCGAAGCAAAGCAGGTCCAATCCCTTGCACCTGTCACTTTCCGTCGACTTTGGGGCACCAAAACACGAGGTTCCCTTGCGCCACCATGATGTACCTAAATGCGCATGGCGCCACAACGAGAGCGCAGTCGCTAGAAGCACCCACCGCCGCCCCCCAGATTCAGCGAGCCTGCGCAGTCGAAATGCACATTGACGATGTCGAGAGGCATGAATGTATATACTATAAATAAGTGCGAATTGGCCGGTCACGCCCGCGCGCTTCAGCGATCTAAGCATCAGCTGCTTTTCTCCTACCGTAAGAACCCCTAGTGTGTCCACACTGTTTGGGGAAAAAGAAATCCAAAAACAATCTCTCCAAAGGCTGCATGTGAACAAAAACTTATGTTTTATGAGATAAGAAACTTGTACGACGAAGTAAGCTTATCAAGGGCGACAGGATGTTCAGAAAAGGAATGCCCCTTCAAAAGGAACAATGTTGGACACGGGAAGAACAAAAATGATCAAACATATACAGACTATGGAACCAAACCTGGACAAAAGGCTCCTAGCCTTTGCAGTTTTGTCTTTTGCAAACTGTTCTGAAGATGGCCCTTCATTGGCGAATATCATTTGACGAAGGTGCCTCCAAATTAAATATACTTTGCACGATGAAGGTATGATTAGCACATGTGGTTTATTTGGTGAAATGATGTTTTTAAGATCTTCCAAGCAGTTGCAATAACTCAAGCTATGCGCCCTCACTTTCTGCTTTCATTCTATGTGAAAGATACAAGTTTTGAGCGGCATGGGGATTCCGCTCTTCAATATGTCCAGCAGGTAATCTCTAATTATATTACTTAAGGTAATCTCTGTTCGCAGTAAATAATGAATGCAAAAAGATGCAAAAAGCACCCCTGAGAAAAGAGAGCGCTTGTCACCTTTAAGTTCACTTCAAACTCTCAAAGGGTACCATACACCTCGGCTTACAGCTGGTTGATTTGACTTGGCTCAGTTGGGGTCACATCTGTGGTTGGGGCCTAATTTCACCTGCGATGTCGCATGCAGATTTATGCGGGCTTGGTGGAAAGTGTGTTTGCAACAGTCCATGCCACTGGGGAACGGGACACATGCTGGACCATCGACTTTAAGACCTCTTCGGGGCAGGACCGGAATACACACATTTTACTGTGAAGCAAAGAAGTCTGTGTAAAGATTGATTGTAAAACGTTTTCGGGGCAGCACCTGAGTCCACACATTTAAATAAGGGCACAAACCTGAATATAGTATCGACTGTAAGATTAAGATGATTTTGTCATACAAATTATTTTAACACTTGACATAAGCCTGCATAAACATCAAACTTTTTCGGGGCGGGACGGCAGGACATGAATGCACAAATTTTTGTTGTACAACTAAACCTTTAAACGTGTTTTTCCATCCAATCCTTTTCTGCTACTCTCTTTCACTTTCTCTTTCACCCTCCCCCACCTCTCTTTGCTGTACAGTTTCATCATCATGCACGCATGCCTTACGCCAAAGGAACTCTACACCTGAACCCTCTCGGGGCATCCGTCGTCTAGTGCACATTGTCAAAAAATACACTTTCTCCATGAAGTTCCCAGAGGTTTATCTAGAACACAGGGAGCCATATTGTTTGAATACTGGTTTCCCGCTGGGAAGGCGGTCTAGACCTTTGTTGCACATGTTCAGTGTGTATCTATAGTCTAGATATACCTGAGAAGAGAGGGGACGAAAGCCAGCCCCTGTAGGGACTGTCAACTAAATTTAAAAGCGACCAAACCGAAGACTGCAAATCAGTTGCAACCTGCTTCAAAGTCAAAGCTGAACGGACTCCAAAAGCTCCTGTTGTCTGAATCCCATAAGTAGAGACATGCAAACACACACACAAAAAGTCACACAGTACAAAAGGGTACAAACTCACAGAAATGCATGGCCTTAGTCCACAAAGTAAAAACGTGCAAACACTTTGACAAGTCAAACAGTGCGAAACGTCAAAGCGTTTTTGGCTTGTTGATTTGATGATTTTTTGTTTGGTTTCATGATCATGTTGGTTGCAAGGATGGCGGCTTACTAGCTTAGGGGTGGCTTACTAGCTTGGGGGCAATAAAATAGAGCGACCAACATCGACTACATACACGTCATCATGCTCCTGAACCAGTGTAAATGAATCTTGGCAAGTAAGCTTTAATCTGCCTGAAACGCATTGAGAAAGTTTCACAACTTGACATGGGCTTGATGTCTGCAGGGCCAAGGATTGATTCCACAGCAGGTTTCGCCAAGGTTTTGTGCTCTTTCCCGGAAGTGTTCCAAAGCATCGTAAATAAATATATAGTCTATTTTCGCACATTCTGCGCCTTCCCTTGTTGCATCTTTCAAAGGAATTTACACCTACAGATTCTCAAAGTATCTTGATCACTGCAGAACCTTAGGCCCTTGGCTTTTTGGAGAGTGACGTGAACGGTGATGCAGTAGAGACGGTTCCATGTTGTCAGTTTCACCCATAACCAGAACGAAACCATCTGCAACCAATTTCAGTGATGACGGAAGAGAGGGGGAGTCGATGACTGGAGCTTTTTGGAGCTTGCAGGTGGAGCGAGCATTAGCAAGTCGAAGGATTAGTAAGTGGATGCAGCGGCCCCCTTTTATATACAATCATATTGTATCGGGGTCAGCCTCTTCCATTTTCTGGACGGCACCTGGTGCAGTAGACGTGCGTAGTGGTGGTGGTGGCGGTTCTGGTTGCTATAGAAGCAGAGGGCGCGTATTGCCTGGCCCACTTCTGCTCAAACATTTTGGACACGACCCCGCAATGGAGGGCAGAGAAGTAAAGGATAAGATGATAAGACCACACACTGTGCAGGATTAGAAATAACATGAAATAACTATATAGCAATGAACTGGAAACATCAGAAAATGATAGCGGAATGTAATTAGAGGGTGAATAGATTTGGGATGATTTGGGTGCCAAAACTATATTGATGAATTTGAATTTAGACAAAAAGAAGCCTTGACTCCAGATATCACCGGTCCTATCCTTCTTTGTTGGGAGCCCACATCTAGCCACAGGTGATGCCCGGGAATCACGGAAATATAAAAAACCTTCAAACATCGTTCATTCACGAACATCAAAAATATGTGTTCATTCTTGCGCACATTGGTTTGCAAAGATGAAATCCCTTATAGAATGAGGGGCGTCGACCCACCCTGGAGAGTCCATAATTAATACGTTTTATAGAAGGGGTCAACCCTCCTCATCCAATGAAACACAGTACATGAAATAGCCAACAATATCTGGTATTTATGCCTTGAGGATAAATAGGCCACGGTTATCAGCGTTACAACTTCAAGCGCAGGCACATCAGCATCACCGGACGAGGCCAGTCTAGGACCTGGCTTCAAGTTGCTTCGAGTCTCTGTCATCCTGCTTATCAAAGTGCCTGAAGATCGACGACGAGCAGATGCACCTAGCAAACTGCTTGTCGCTCAGCTCGTGTTGCTTTCAAAAGCTCCTTGCTCTTGATTACCTGGTTCGAACACTTAAGAACCCGCTTTCACTGGTGCACCTCCAAGAACTAAAGAAGCTCCTGCATTTCGGCTTCCGACCTTCAAGTGAAACATCCTTGATTGTTTCTAGTTGCGGCGCAAACAAAAGTTCAATGGACCTCGATTGTGTAGCTTCTTGGCAATACTCCGAGTTGCAATCTGCCTCCATGCAAAAGTCAAAATGGCAGAAGACTCTCCACTCTGCATGCCGCTGTTCCCTTTCAATCGACAATTGGCCTGGGAGCAAGTCCATTCTTGGACTTCCTGTTTGCACCTCATCTGCAGGCCAACACCTGTTGCACCCTTTGCCTAATTGCTTTGCAGAAGCATCCATCGCTTCCAATCCCCTGTGCCTTTCTACTTCCATTCTCAAAACCAGCAGCCGGGTCTGTCACGACAAACATTCTTGTTGGCGAAGAAGTTGTGCTAAGCCTCTTGACCCCCCCAAAAAGAAAGAGCCAACATGTAACAGTTTCCAAGCGTCACATAGATGTCTCAAATAGCTCCGTTGCAGACTTTACATGAGAGCTTCCACGTGTCATTGTGATTGTGATTGATGTCGGCGCATGGCATCAAACTGGCCTCACTAGCAGCAGCGCACAAATTGCGGCCTCTGTCAATACATCCAGCACAGCCCAAACCACAAGTTTGAGTGTGTAGTTTGACACAGGTGCACCGTGGCTAGATTCTTGGCCGTTCTTGTCTTGCTTCCTCTTGTGATAGATAGCACAGTCCCGTTTCTGTGTGCCCATGTGATGTTGCTTGTGTCCATGTCACTGTCGAGCAAAATTCAAGAAAATCCCCTGAGGTAACCACGATCCCACCTTTGAGGATGCCATGTCTGGGTTCAAACACCCGGCCCTGCACAGCCATCAGCACAACTGCCATGGACAAAACTGCTTAGTGGTTGCTTGCTGTTTGCAGGCAAACAGAAGCAACACCATGCATCACCCCGCCTTTGTTGAAGCCATATATCACAAAAACACAACCCAACGCGCAACCCCTTGAGCCCAAGCAATGTGCCAACGTGCTGAATTATATCAACATGTACCACCCGCGCAAATGCAGAGCAGGCTCATTCGATTTGGAAGATGACACATGATAAAAACAACATTAGCGCTTTGTAGCGGACAATGCTGCAATAACAACGCTATACAACTAACTCCACCCTGATTCCAACCATTGCTATCTTCAAACAAAAAAGTAAGTGACATGGTGCTAAACACGTGTATGTACTTTGTTGAAAACATGAGAGGGTGGCCGAGGCTGAGGCCACCAGTCAATGATCCTGCTTTGGAGGCTGTGTGGACTGTCTTGGACTTCAAGACATGTGACTCCTCCAACGAATCAACAAGACATGTTCTTCTTCAAAGTCTAACATGCAACGGATGCAACCGCCTCTTTGAGATCTGTCTCTTTGGGAAGTTTCTTCACCTTTGATCCATACAGCCTCGCATACAAATGCTATTCAAGAAGACAAGGATCGCTAAGGAAGGTATTGAAATACCCCTGTGGCACTAGCCTAGCTCAGACGATGCACGGACATGCTTCTGTGGAGTCCATGTTCTGGTCTGAGTTTGCACATTGTGCAGGGGTAGTTTAATGAATCAAACAATTAATTGAGGTGGGGTAGGCAAATTTGTTGACCCCCTTGTAACGGTGTAACGGGTGCAGATTAATGATTAATGAAAACGTATGGGAGCAGGTATCCCAGCATAGACCCCAAACAGCTTAGTTGGCAAGAACGATTGTTGTCGTGGGCGGCCGCAGCCCCAGCCCCTGCCTTGGAAAACAACGTAAACAGCACGACAGCAGCAGGACAACAGAAAGACCAGAGGAGGACAGGGAAGGAACAACACGAACACACCAAGAGGACAAAAGGACAAACTGTGACCAGACAGTGCTAAAAGGACAACAGGACAACATGAGGGGAGCATGCCAAGAGGAGAACAAGAGGAGAAGAGGAAGAGAGGACAAGAAACAAACAAGACGATGGTGGGAGGAGCACGAACGGAGATAGGCTGGCAGCCGCGGCCAATGAAGACCCGAAGAAGGACAACAAGAAGAAGGCAATAGAATCAATAGAAGAACAAGCAGGACAGGACCGAAAAGATTGCGACAAGGGGAGAAGAGGAGGACATCCGGACACCGGCGCGGCCTGGCACTGTGGCCAACTTTTGTTCCTAGGAAAAAACCCAGAGAACCCTGCAAGAAGAGGACAACAGGAGGACAAGGAGAGGACATCGGCTTCTGGGGTTGCTTCCTGGTTGTCTTACTGGTGCCTCAGCGCTTTGTGGCGCAGGCTCGCATGTTGTCACGCTTACACGCTGACAGGCTGCGTGGCCATGCTGTGGAGCTGCGGTTTTCGCGCTTGCCGGCTGGCGCTTTCCCACTAGGTGTGCAATTGTTTTCTCGCCTTTCACCCTTTGATTGCGCTTGGTGGTGTCATGTTTTCACGCTGCAAGGCTGTGATCTGGACATCAGCAGAAGGACAACAAGGGACAACAGGAGGACAAGAAGAGGACAACAGGAGGACAAGATGCACACCAGAAGAAGGACAAGAAGAGGACAACAGGCAGACAAGAAGAGGACACAAGAGGACAATGTCCGGACACTGCGTTCACCAGCGCGGCCAGAGAGACTGTGGCCAGCCTTTTCTTTTCCTAAGAGAGAACCCCAACAGTAAACTGCTTGGGGAACAAGAGGACGACACAGCCCGCACAGCGGGAGGACAACAGCAGGACAAGAGGAGGACACAGGGTTGGCCAGCGCGGCCAGAAGACAACTGCAAGCATCAGAAGGACAAGAGGTTGTTTTTGTTTCATTCGCAGCATCGAGTCGACGCCAGCGGGGGCCACGTCACGAGTGGACGGCCAGTGGCTGGGCCCGCTCCTTCTTCCGGAGCTCAAGAAAGACATCCTACTCTGGCCAACGCGAGTCGAGTTGGGCCAGAAAATCTGCCAAGCCCTGACCAAGGGTGTCAGATTCATCCGGCGCACCCCCGGTCTCATCATCCCTTACCCTCACTCTGCGCTGCCGCAGCTCATCGCCAAAAGCGGCCGCGCCATCCCCAGCTGCCGCATACAAAGCCGGGTCTGCCGCCTCCTGCAGGGCTTCGCTCAGGGCCGCGTTGTCAGCCAAGGCCCACTGAATGCGCTCACTCGGACGCAAGCGCAAATCAAAGATGGACCCCATTGGTTCCAGCTCACGGGCATGGAAGGCGACCGCAAGGCCGATGGCTGCCAGCATCTGACATCGGTGAGGCCGCAGTTGGACCGGGCCCTTCTCAAGGTTCAGGGAACCCACACACCACACACACGGTAGGACTTCTTCAGTCCACTGCGGCCAGGTGGCTTGCATATGTTGCATGCCGAGTTGCCAAAGATCCCAATGGCATGCCTTGGCGTGCTCCTCGAGGAGGCTGATGCTCATCACCGGAATCCCACAAACAGGGCAGGTCGCGCGCAGCAGGCGCGACAACAGGGAGTCCTGAGCCTGGAAGATCCCGTAGTTGGCTTGGGCATAGCACCTGACAGCATGGGTAACGAGTTCATCCTTCATGAGTGCCGAGGGCGTGGCTGCCGGTGGACATGTGAGGTACCTGTTGGCATCAACAAGCCACACCAGCAGGATGTTGATCAGGTTCATGGTGAAGGGTGTGATCTTGACGAGCTTCCCAGTTGTCCTGAAAGGAGACCCAGCCGTTGTGTCCTTGGCAGCAGGCACGGTAGTGGCCGGCCTCATGTGAACCTGAGCGCACGATCATGCTGGAGACCTGGTAGGCCACATGGTCGATGGCCAAATCACCAGCCTCACGAAATCGGGGGAGCCAAATGACTCCATTGGGAGGCAGCTGCAAGCTCCACTCAGCTTTCCCAAGATGCCAGCTGAAGTCGAGGAGACTCAGGCAGTTTGGAACTGCCCGCACTGTTCGACCTGCATGCCCTCTCACATGTCCCTAATGCAGCATATCACTCGTAATCACCCTGTCCTGAAACTGCCTCCCCAACCGTTTCGAGTGTTCCGGGATGCAGCAGGAGACATGCCGCAATGCCGCCACTGCAATGGCCAGTTCCAGCTCTGGTCAGGCCTCGTTAAGCATATTTCCCTTGGTCGCTGTTTGAAATTCGATGCCACGCTGCAGGATCGACCATGCCCTGCAGATGACCCTGAACTTCGACAAGCGGTCAGACAGCAGGACTGGCTGGGTGCAGTGGGCACTGCACGGCTGCTGGAAATGATACGCAACAGATGCATACTCTGTGCACGGTGGCAACCCAGTGGCAAAGCCATCCATGAACACCTGAGCCGAATGCACCACAAGGTTTGGCATGCTGCACAGGCCTTTCAGCCCAGCAGCAAGGGGCTGTCACCACCAGCCGACCTTGTATTGGATGCGGCAATACCACCAACCGACTCCACTCTTGTCCCGCAGCTAGTCAACTGGCCATTGTTGCTTATCTTGAGCATCACCACATGCGGGGCAGTGAAGTGGTGGATGAACTGATAGCGCCCCCTCGACCTTCGCAAGGGAAGCTCTCACAGTCCGCCCTTCGTGCACAGGCTGGCACCGCAGCAGAGACAGCCACCTTCCAACCAGCCCGCGACTCAGCCAATGGCACATATGTGTGCCCATTGCGGGAATACCTTCAACAACTTCTATGGCCTCCGCATGCACGTGGAATCCCTGGCCTGCAAGAGATTTGATGCTAATCGGGGAGCTGGTGATCACGTCCCCCAACAGTGGCCGTGGGTCCAACAGCTGTGCGCCCGTGGCGAGCCCTCTGACTGGCTCACGGACCCTCGACTGCGGGATGCCCTGCAACAACAATGTGGCCTCTGTGGGAGACGGATTCAGAACACCACCGGGATAGCAAAGCATTTGTACCATGACCATGCTGACACCATGGCCGCTGCCCAGGCCTGGATCCAACATGCCTACAGCCAGGCTCCGCCGGATGCCCCTCAATGCTACTGCCCAGTGACCCGCTCGGCCAGATCGGGCCATAAATGCCCAATCATTTTGCAGGCAGGCGTCCTGGGACATCTTTTTCAACCACAACAACGGCCCCAGGTACCGGCTGATCTCCAGGCCTTGATCACAGCTGCCAACTATGCCTCCATTTGGCGCCAACCACACCTGCGCCCGAGCCTTGAAGAGCACTGTTTAGCCTGTCAGCACCTGCCCGTGGGTGACCTGCCCACTCACCTGGCCAACACCCATCCCATCGACCATGTGCTTATTCAGTCGATGTTTGATCAAGTGCAATGCCCTGATTTGGGTTGCTGCCGCTGGTGCATTGGGGCTCAAGACCTACCGGGAAGGTGTCCCGTGGCACTCAACTTGGCTCACTTCGTCCGTGCAAGCCAGCACGATGGACTACATGGAGGACACCGACTGGCTGGAGCAGGTGCAGGATGCGGTGGGGGGCTTACTAGCCCGCCCGCCTTTGAAGAGGGCCAAACCGGAGGAGGACGGAGAGGATCCACAAGACGGGCACCAGAAGGGAAAGGGCAGGGGCAAGGGAAAAGGCAAAAACAGGCACCTGGACAACCACCAGCCCCAGCAGCAGCAGTTGGCGGCGCTCCAGCAGACCATGGGCCAGCTCATCTCCCTGACGTTGAGGCACGAATCACAATTGCAGGCGCTGGCCAGCACAGACCAATTTCTGCTCTTCTTGCCGGCCGGCCCCGTGTCTCTGATGCCAAACATCCTATATACATCAGACACAACCATGGAAAGAGCAGCAAACCAAGGGCACCTCCACGCAACCACTGCGCGTGGTACTGGGTCAGATGGTGATTCAGGAGATCCTCGACCGCTTCACGAAGCTCCAAGCCATGGGCCAACAAGATCCCCTTTGGCAGAAGGCGATTCACCAGCTCATCATCACTCCCGAGGGCTCGTGGCCCTACCTGCAATGGGATCCGACTCAGAAGAAGCTTCAAGTGTTGCCCAACAAGACCCCTATCAAGGGGGAGAAGATTCAGAAAGCCCTGGAGGACCTTCTGGAGCACATGAAGAACCCTGCTCTCCTGCTGCGGTTCAAAAGTCTCCAACCGCCACAGACCTCCAAGAAGACAGTGATCCCCTTCCTGATCCAGGTCAGCATGAGAGACAACCACCTGTACGACACTCTGTCGTGCCTGAGTCACAACTCAGTCTGGATGCTGGTGGAGGCCAGACTCCGACAGCACATGGTCCGCCCGACGCAGTTGGTGAGCCAGATCCTCAAGGGTCAAGGACGAGGTGGCCGTTCTACTTAGACCAAGGCCTGGCCACGGTGATGGGCTGGAAGCTCATCAACCAGCAAAATGCTTGCTGGCTCAATGCCACCATGGTCTCCTTCCTATGGGCCCACCTTCAATGCCGTGGCTTGCATTGGCAGGATCTGGGCATTGGCACAGAGATGTTTCCGTCCCTTTGCAGCCGGACTGGACCTTCTCCGGGATAGGGCCACACGGGCCCTGCTGACTGGCTGGCAGTGTGAAGGGCAACGAGAACTGCTCTCCTTCACCAGTCACTTTTTGGGATGGTGTCAACCACGCCTCCGTGGATAACACCTGGGAACGTAGATTTGAGGAGGCGGCGCAGCTCAAGTGTCATGACCAAGGGGGAAAATTTGGTCATTTTGACGCCTGCTGCCCATGCCGAAAAGATGCTGAACCTGCAAGCATGTGTGGATGAATGGCACACACAGTACGGCATGATCACTGCCTTGCTCCGCGTTCAAACATGTGTGGTTCTCTACATCGAAAGGTCTCAATTTTTGCCCCAAGGTGCGGCCGCCACTCCAACATTGCGTCAAAGTGAGTGACATACGGCAGAGTGTGTAAAAAGTCATCTGGCGGAAGGACAAGGAGGAGGCCTGTTCGGTCATCTTTCAGTCTTGTCAAGGTTGCGCGGAGGAAGTCCCGGATGCTGGGAACTCCCAGTCGGGAACGAAGAGCCTCAGTGGATTCCCGGGTGATATAGGATGGAGAGCGTGCTATGCGTCTGAGATCGATGGTGCATACCGTTTCAAGCAATTCAACTCCTTTCGGCGTGAGGCCGCTAGCTGACAGGCCATACACATACGAGGCTCTGACACAGCTGGTCCACAGGCGGACCCGGCTTCCGAGGCTGAAAGCGTGTCGGCGTTGGAAAAATGCTCGAAGACGGGTGTACGTCAATCTACCTACATGGATGCGGTGTTTCAGAGTCTGCATCTCAAAGGGGCCGTAACTGATCTGCGTGCCTAGGTATGTGTGCTTGGAGACCCATGGGATGAGACAATCCCCTTGTTGGCGGGGCACCACGAGGTATCTGCTGCCTTTGATGTTCTTGGTCCATCTTTTGAACAGTCGGCCGTTTTCCTCAAGTTGACTACTAGCTGATTCGACTCAAGGACATCCAGCAGGTGGCCAATGTCGACAAGTGCTTGGGGGAAGTCTTCAAGGCAGGTCAAACTCCCATTTCAGCACTAGGTCATCAGCATACGAGATTAGATGCGCCCTCAACCACTCCAGCGGCCGGTCAATGCTGGCAAGAAATTGCGTCAGAATGTCTAGCAAACACACGTTCCACTGGAGCGGAGAAGCAACACAGCCCTGGCGTGTTCCTCGGGTAGGAACCAGGTGGCAGGTCTGCCCCCTGTGGTCGATGTGATACGCCGCTCCATGCAGCCATGCTAGGAGGAGGACTTTAAGATCTGAGGGGCAATGAACCTGGTGGCATACGATCGAAAGCTTCAGAGAGATCCAGACTCAAACACAGTCCCCCACCTATGCGGCGTGGTGCCTCACCCGCCCGGCGCTGCCATAAATTTTTCATGGCGCTCTGACTCCTGGCACGGACAAGACGGCAGTGATGGAAGACCGCAATTAAGGCATCTATGGTGGATCGACTAGGCAAATATCCCAACAGCGGAGCCTGACAAAGACTAGGCAAGACATGCGGGCAGACCTTCTGGATCAAAGTTTGTAGCACGCACTTCCCCAGGATGTCAGTCAGGGCAATGGGCCTGACATCTTTCGGAGTGTGCACCGCACGTTTAGCTATCAATGTGAGCCAGGCAGCCTGCCAATGTTGGGGAATCATGACCTTACGGTGACACCACACGCGGACCAGAAGCGAGTGACAAATCTGAGCAAGTTCATCTGCTAGGCATCTGACCACAGCAGGCTGCAGTGAGCCAGGGGCAACTGCCTTGGTCAATGGGACTCTGGCCAAATGGTATCGAAGGTCTGCAACCGTGAATGGCATGCATGACAGACGAACAGAGGGACGAGGCAGCTGAGGGGTAGACCCACAATAGACGGTCTCAAAACGCTGTCGAGGAGGTCCAGTTCGACCTCAGGGCTTTGGGCGAGCCCAGTGACGGAGCGAAATCTGATGGGTCTATTCGGCTGCTTGGGGCTAAGTTCACGGACGATCAGATGGGGTTGACGCTGATCATGGGCTCGATCAGCCTGTGCAGCCCGGGTCATCTGCTCTTGGAATCGAGCCTTTTTCTGTTGCCGGGTATGGACTGTCATGTCTTTGCGCAGTCGACTGTGCTTGGTGGCGTGAATCCATGCTTGAAAACTGGAACGAAGGTCTGTGACCACCATGCGCCTGAGCCGACGGTAGTGGAACCACCTGGTGGCAGCAAACCTGTGACTGTCTGGGTGACGCCAGTCCGGGACCGATCGAGTAGAGGGACAGGCTGGTGTCCAGTAGTCTTGGGACCAGTTACTTAGCTGCTCTAGATTAGACCAGGTCGGATGGTCAACTTGTAGCCTGGCCTTGGCCTGGGGGACGAACACCTGCCAAGCTTCATCTTGTTCACGGCAGTGCAGCTGCAGGTCCTGGCATTGGTTCCAGGTCCATCGTCGAGTCCGATTTTGAGGGAGCTTGCGCCAGACCTTCCAAGTGACGGGCAGACTGCTTAGGATCGGCATATGATCTCGAAGGGCACGCCACCCTGCCACAGGAAAGGACTGGTACACTCGACTATGTTTGACCTGTTCATCCTGCTGACATCTTCTCATGAGAACGTGGTCAATCGTCGATGTGCCGCCTGGCCCTTCAAAGGTGTGTGCATGATCATAGGGTCGAACCGTGGCAAGCGTATGCTTGCGGCAGAGCTCACGAAGTTCCCAAGCATCCTGCGGTTCAGAGGATTGTCTTTGGAGGTCAGTGTTGAAGTCTCCAGCTACCACAAGAACATTCCTGATGGGAAGATGTGTGAGGATGGTGTCCAGGGAGGACCAAACCTCAGCTCTACTATCGTATGGTTTTGCCCGTGTTGAGGTGGCTTCGGTCGTATACTGGTAAACTTGAACCAATTCAAGAGTCGTCTGGGCAAGCCGGCACTTGACATGTTGCGCGCGGCCAGGAATGGGCGAGGAACTTGATAGGTCCTGTTGGCCACACAATCTATGGTGGATCAGGGTCAACAAGCCACCATGATCCCTACGGTCCTCCGTCCCTGCAGAAAGGGCCCAATACCCATACGTGCTCCAATCTTTGGTCTGATTCCAGCGGGCGCCCTGAATGCATGCAATGTCAACAGCATGATGACTGAGGTACTGCATGAGCTCTTGCCAAGTGGCGCTAGTGAGCCCTCCGGCGATGCTTCTGGTGCTGGGCACTAGACCGTTGCAGGAAGGGAAAAGTCGTCCACGTCGAGTGCTGCAAAGAGCCGCTGGTCATTGAGGAGGTCGTAGGTGCAGCCAGTGGTGGAGGCATGCAGTGCTGCAACGAGGAAATCATCAGCAGGCGGCCTTTGTACGAGGTGCAGCCATCTCTCAGCAGGCGGTGCACCGCTCTCCTATAGCTCTTCTTCGTGCTCCAGGTTGAGCAGAGCCCTTTTGCCCCGATGGGGCCTTCTAGGTGCCCTTTCCCACGATTCTTTTGGAGGGAGGTTGGGGGTACATGACCTACCTGGTCTCCTCCTTCCTTCGTCGTGGACCGAAGGAAACCCTCACCTCTCATGGACCAAAAACTTTGCGAGTACACTCCAAGGTGCTGAGGTCCACGCCCGGACTTGGGACCGGGATGCTCGCTCGTCAGCCAGTAGGCCGCTAGCTGCAGCAGCAAGAACGTGCCAGCTGCCACCATGCAAAAACGGCGCAGGTCGTCGGACAGCAAGGAGCGGTGCCCCGCTGATGGGGGGCTGGCTTTCTGGCCATCTCGAGCATAGAGGCTTGAAGGACAAGAGGAGGACACAGGGTTGGCCACCGCGGCCAGAGGACAACAACAGGCCAACTGCAAGCACCAGGAGGACACAGGGTTGGCCACCGCGGCCAGAGGACAACAACAGGACAACTACAAGCA